CGCGCTCTGGGCCCATTTTCCGTCGCCGTAGCAGCGCAGTAAGGACGCCACCCCGGTGTGACGGGGGTATAACGTTGCGATGTTTCTGTCAACGGTTTACGAGTGGAAGTTAATGTTAAGACTAATGTTAAGACTAATTTTGTTTCTGACAACGGGCCCCTGGTGTATAGTTCCTGCTTGAATATATTATTAGCAATTTCTAGAGCTTCTTCCTGTGGCACGGCTTACGTGCACGCCAGGTATTTCTACATTACAGATATTACCTCTGATTCGCAGAATTTCCCGTTTCACGTTCAAATACAGGCTCGACACCCGCATATTACAATTGTTGTCTCTGATTACCAGGGGGGTTTTCGTGACGCATATATAGAAGTGTTACGCCGGTATTCTCGTGACTCATACGCGGCAAAATCGTCGCTGCAGCAGACCATAAATATATTCTGTTTCGCCATTATTACCTGAGTGTCGTGTTTGTTAGAATAATAGCAGTGATTAGGACTACCGGTGATCACTACAATAAAAGAACCAGGTGCATAGAGTTTCCCGCCTGTTGACCCTCATGAGCAAACAGCATGCACTCAGCCACTCACATGTATGCGTGCGAGTGATAGACAGTACATCCACTCTGATAAAATCTAAGAAAGCATATCTGCTGGCCGTTGCAACCCCACGACCTCATAACGAATATTCTTCGGGGTCTAAAGGACTGAAAAGAGGGGGGAGCCCAATTACGTTTGATCAACTTCGCTGAGCAAGCCTCACGGGGTTTTCGTGGCCGTGGTCATGCGACGTACTGCACGGTGTGCCAGGCCACGCCCAGACTGCTGTTGGTCCGTGACTGCTTATTCATGGGATTCTCCATTCATTATTCACAGCTTCCCCATCATGTCTGATGGGTATTCCACTATACGCCATCCGCGGACGCGGTTGGTATCAGTACAGATCCGCCCACAAGAGGCGCATGTCTACAGTCCGCAGTAGAGTCCCTTTATAAAGAGAGTTGCGACAATAGACAACACAACTCGCAATTAGAAACCGTATTGTTTCCAAATGGATCCACACCGCTGCCGCTCAAGTACAGCGCTGTATGAATACGCTGTACAATGGTCCGTAGTAATTAATTAGACTAATCGTGCTTCAATAAACTCAAAATTAACAGAGATTATAGTTAAGACATGTGTCTATGTTTATCTAGATTTTCTAGAAATGTAACTCAAATCGTTCGCGCCATATGATAGTTTAATTGTACACTTTCTTACCGCCCATAGCCGTGCGTATATTCCTATGTGGCGATACGCTACGCGCGTAGAATATTTCTAATTAGTTAAAACCTCGTTCGCGCTTCAATAAACTCCAAGAATCACAGAGACCATAGATAACACATGTGTTTATATGTATCTAGATTTCTAGAAATGTAACTCAAATCGTTCGCGCCATATGATAAGTTTAATTGTACACTTTCATTCTTACCTCCCATAGCCGTGCGTATATTCCTATGTGCGATACCGCGCGTAGATATTTGCTAATTAATTAAACCACTCGCGCTTCAATAAACTCAAGAATCACAGCGATTATAGATAACAATGTGTTTATATGTATCTAGATTTCTAGAAATGTAACTCAAATCGTTTAAGGCAGCCAT